ACATCACGATGGATTTTGTCACTAAACTACCCAGGACAAAGAATGGTCACGACATGATTTGGGTGGTCGTTGATGAATTCACTAAGAGTGCGCATTTCATAGTAGCCAACGAGAAATGGTCTATAGAGAAGCTTGCAATTCTTACGTGAAGGAAATTGTGAGGCTTCACGGTGTTCCGCTAATAATTGTGTTGGATCGTGATAGTCGTTTAACCTCAAGGTTTTGGAAAAGTCTACAAGAGGAAATAGGTACCAAGTTGTGTTTAAGTACAACTTACCATCCGCAGACTGATGGTCAGAGCGAACGGACGATACAAACACTTGAAGATATGCTAAGAGCATGTACCTTAGAATTCCAAGGTAACTGGGATGAACATTTACCATTGGTAGAATTTTCTTACAATAATAGTTTCCACTCGAGCATTAAGATGGCACCTTATCAAGATTTGTACGGGCAGAACTGTTGTACGCCGTCTTGTTGGCTTGAAGCTGGGGAAAAGCAGTTTATGGGACCAGAGATAGTCCATCAAACTGCTGAAAAGTTGAAAATAATTACGGAGAGAATGTTATCTGCTCAAGATCGTCAAAAGAGCTATGCTGACAAAAAGCGAAGATCGATAACTTTTGAAGTTGGAGATTTGGTTTTGCTTAAAGTCTCACCGTGGAAGGGGCTTATAAGATTTGGTAAAAGGGGAAAATTAAGTACAAGTTTTATTGGACCGTTTAAAGTTCTTCAGAGGATTGGGAACCAAGCTTACAAGCTCAAACTACCCGAAGAACTGAATGGAATTCACAACACTTTTCATGTGTGTTACTTGAGGAAGTTCACGGGAGAAGTTCCCGACATAATTCCACTTTCGGAGTTATGAATCGATGAGAACAAAAGGTTGATTGAAGAACCAGAGGCAATCGTTGACCGAAAGACTAAGAAATTGCCAACGTAGGATGGCTGAATTAGTGCTTCTCCAATGGAAACACACGAATGGGTCAAATCTTACCTAGGAGATGGAGAGTGACATGATGAGTCGCTATCCGCATTTGTTTGTTGATGTGTGATTCCAGGGACGGAATCATTCTACGGTGGAGAAAATTGTAACGCCTGTGTTTCTGGGCTTGCCATTTTTAGCAATGTAATAGTCTACGTTAACCTTTGTAACCCAATTTGAAATAATAAAAATGTATTATTTGTGAATTATGTGATTTATGTGTGTTTTCTTCATTATTATAATTTAATTGAATTAAGAATAAAAATAAGCATCAAAATGAAATATTAGATGAAGTCGATATCTATGGATAAAGTTGTAGTAGCCGAAACAAGGTTTCTCAATATATATAGAACACCCAAATCTGACGTTTCGACTTGGCAATATGCAGCTTGAATACTCGATTTGAGATCGAGCGGTTTTTAGCCAAAACAATCTAAACGAGAATCGAAGATCTCGTTGTTAGTAGTGAAACGATGAAAAGTTAGGCGAGAACGGACGTCGAACGAAGAAGTTATGAATTTATAACGAAGTTTTTCTATCCCGACCTTCTAAAAATAAATAATAAAAATAAAACTCAAAATTAGCCGACGGAGTCTAAATGAAAGTTGTAGAGTATGGTCTGACCTACGCGTGGATATAAAGAATGTCCAAAACAGAGCTCGTATATGAAAGTTACACCATTTAGAAGTTTCACAAGTCAAATTACGTCGCGCGTAATCTGAGTACGCTCAGCGTACTCAGAGGGGTGCAACTTGTCTGACCAATACTCGAGTGCCACCAATTGACGCATGCAGTGACGTCAAAGTACGCCCAGCATAACCTAATTACCCCCAGCGTATTGAGTACGCCTAGCGTAAATTGAAATTACGCCCAACGTAATGCCAGACCCTGCAGCCTATAAATAGAAACCGAGATCAGCCATTTTCTCTTGTTTAAACTCTTTCTTCTCTCTAGTTTTTGCCTCAATTTGCGTGCCAATCATATCCCGAAGCCCCGGTATCATTCCCGAGCCCCGAAGCAAGTTCCGAAGCCCCGAGGATCCAGAGAAGTGAGATTTCCATGCCGAAGCCCTGCCCGCGAGGAGCCCGGTTTTTGTGAAGATCTTCCAGATCTATGGAGAAACACCATTTCTGCAAGCCGTAGTGCTACCCGATCATCTTCTGATCAAGTGAGTGTGTAGTCATTTTCTTCTAACACATTATTACGAAGTAATTTATACGAAATACGTGTTACGTGTATACCTTGTTGATTATATGTGTGGATGTATATTCACTTTCTTCTATCTCATAGATCTGATTTATTTTCTATGAAATACGTGTTATGTGTGTGTGCCTCATCTGTTATGTAAAAAAAATGTATTGATCGAGTATGCTATACAGGTTTTAAACTATGTATAAAAATGTATATTTTTATCTACTAATATGTTGGGTAGAACATGGGTAGATAGTTGGTGTGTAAAAAAACAGATGAGAGGTCTCGGTGTTCTTGATGTTTTTCTAGTCATTCAGCAGAGTATGGATGACGACCGCAGACTATTCTAGACAGTCCTGTGGAACACTAGCAGGCTCATAACCTGTAGGTGTTGTGAACGACGTGTTCACCGGTGTACTCTATCCCCCACATGGATGCCTTTAGGATGCTTATTGTTGAGGAAGCCCCTCTGCAGTAATGTCTGTCCCGATGAAAATCCTGAATTAGGTTCCTTATAATAGATGTCTTTTTTAGAGACGTAAAGTAAGGATAACGGGAATGGGTAATCGGGTTTATTGTTGATTGTTGAAATTAAATATAATTATTTATTGTGGGTTGAAAACCCTATATGCTCACCAGGCTCCCAAGCCTGACCCACTCAGTTTATTTGTATTACAGAAAGTGGCGCATGGGCATAATATGGATGAATCATCAAGTTATTTTGTTTACAAGTTTGTATATGTATATATTTGTTGAATAACTTGTAATGTTATCGTTTATGATTTATGGTCTGTATCGGAACATGACATCCCGATTTTTGATTATGAAATCTTTTGATAAAAATCTATTTTATCATGTTTTGTTTTTGAGAAAAAATACCGCATCTCTTTTAAAATCAAAACGATTTACTCTTAAAATGTTTAAAAAGCATAAATGAAATCGATCTTTTCTGTCCGAGATTTTGGGGATGTCACATTGTTGCATTGTCACATTTTGCGAAGAAAGTTGTTGACGCTCTTTCGCGATCTCTTGCTTCAATTCTTCGACTTTCAAGTTTACATATGAAAGAACCTTAGATCAAATGATTTATCAAACAATGACTATTAATAAGAAGAATGAGATTTCACAAAGAACTTTCACTAAGAATGATAATCTCACAAAGAGATTATTGTTCGCACAAAGCGTCTATTAGGGTTTGTGAAAGACAACCTCTTCACAAACCCGTACAAAAGACTATATAGAACTATTATAGACAATCCCTACAAATCAGGGATGTTCCAGCTAACTAATATATGATAATTATGGAAACAAGATAAATACTAAATCTATTACATCAAAAAGATATACACTGAACAACTTGTATGCTGACGCTGATGCTGATGCTGAATTACGTGCTGATGCTGAGTGATTAGTTTCAAACATCATCATATTATAAGGTTCGACCTTACAATCTCCCCCAATATAATGATGTTCAAAACAACAACTATACTAGGACACCTCTGGACAAAAATTCTTGATACTCAGCTTCAGCTTCTACTTTCACAGACCAGTAAGGACTATCCAACATCTCCTGTCTTCTATTCAGTAACTCCATAGCAATCAGTATGTGAAACTCTCCAGAGAGATCTTGATGACTCATGCACATTTGTCTTAAACCAACAAGATGTGCTGTTGGAGCTTTTGGAATTTCTGTGGTGCACTGAAAACATATTTTCCTGTTTTTATCAAGATAAAACATTCCATGTTCAGGAACAGAGATGAACTTATGTTGAACTGGCTCAACACCGATAGGAAGAGAGTTGTTTATTCCTTCAGCACCAAAGTTGAGAACCAATACATCTTCACTATCAACTTGAAATCTGGTTCTTCTGACTCTTGGAACTGAGGAACTTTGGCCTTGCTGCTGAGGATGTTGTGTAGGAACAAGATCCAGAAGCTGAACTTTCTTGATCAGTAAATGGAGAGCACATGTCAGTTCTAAAGAGAGAGCTGAAGTTTGCTTGGATGCTAATTCGAGCAATTCCATCCATTCAGAGTATCCGTATCTGATCAGCTCATCCCTCTTGACAACTTCAATGTATGGATGTTGAAGACCTTGACGAGTGATCAGCAAAGTAATAATTTTCTCATTACGAGGTTTAGAAGCTTTAACTTTGATGATCTTATCACTGCTCACTCTTCGTTTAAGAACATCTTGAAACCTCTTGCGATCAATCCTGTCGAGAACACTATCAGTCCTTGACTTGCTGCTACTGGGAGGAGGCTGTGAAGATTTGGATTTGGACTGATATTCTAAAAACTTTTGCATCTGAGCTTCAAAGGATCCTTTGGCCTGAAGTTTATGCTGAATGAGAGATTAATCAACTTGAGCAATATTCTTTAGAAGTTGAGCTTTATTGGCTTCATTCAGATTTTTCATAACTTGATCATGCGACATGTTCCATTCAGCTGGCAAATGGGATATGCTGATGATGGACTTAGGTTTCTTGCTAGGAAGAGAAGTATTAGTATGTGAAACAACCAATTCAGTATCCGTTGCATTGCGCTTGTGAGATAGAGGTTGAATATCCTCGCTAGCTACATCTGAGTCTTCTCCTTGAACTAGCACAATGGGATCAATGAAGTTCATATCTAGCATTTGACACTCATCATCATGTTCATCTTCATTATCATCTGAGGCTTCTCCTTGAACTGGCACATGAGGATCAATGAAGTTCATGTCCAGCATCTGACATTCATCATCATGTTCATCCTGATCATCATGCTCACTATCTTCAGCAAGCTTTTCAGTATCTGCTGGTCTATCAGACTCGTCAGTAGGCTTTTAAGTTTCTACTATTTTATCAGACTCGTGCACAGGCTGTGGTGGCTCGGTCTGATTTAAAATGTTATCTTCAGATCCAAGCTCAACAGAGTCAGTGTCTCCCCCTTTTTGATCATCATCATCATGTTGTAGGCCAGGGGAAGGAGTTGGCAAAAGAACTTCCTTCAGTTGGTGTACATCAGCCTCAATTCGTAGAAGACGCTTACTCATGTCCCGAGTCAGTGTAAGAAGCTCATTAAATGTTGAGGCCGGTATATGAATGAACTGAGTACCTGGAACTTCTTGTGAGCGATGTTGCTCCCCCTGAGAAGGTTGCTCCCCCTGGGATGGTTGCTTCCCTGGACATGGTTGCTCCCTCTAAGATGTTTTCCCCCCTTGAGCTGAGTGAACCCTCTCAGTGACAGAAAGAGTATGATGAGAAAGTTAAGGGGAGAGATGACCACCGTCCTGTGTTTCAGCTTTTTGATCAGCAGGATTTTGGTTGTTACCATCAGCTCCTTCATTAGTATCAGCAGTTAGTGAAGGAACAATATATGGATTTGCGATCCATTCTCTCATTCGATCAGAGATGCCGATGTCATTTTCCATTGGATCATCCTGATACATTCGTACTGACATGCGTGGGCATTGGATGGGGTTTCCGTAGTGGGAGTAATAGGCTTCAGCGAAAAATTTATCTAGGACAAGAGCAATCCAGCGTCGAAAGGGGGCATGATCAGCGTGTACATTGGCCCGAAGAAGTTGGACAAGCTGATCAAAAAAGAAATCCCATAAATCAAGACGTTTCTTGAGAAGAAGAGAACATACAACTTGTTACTCATAAGTACTCAGTTAATCACCACTTCGAGATTTGTGACCCACACATTTGCACAGAGCCCCGGTGAAGAACTTCCATCCTGGAGTCATACATTGACGCGGAATGAGAGCTGATCGAGCACCAGCCTTTGAGTGATCATAGCCCAGTTGATCAAAGAGGTGTCGACAATGTTCAGTAGGTGGAAGCTCAGAGAATGGTTCATAGATTGGTAACCTGAGCGCAACACTGAGGAGATCAGCAGTGATAAAAACGGAGCGTCGTCCACGCCCAATAGTCCCAGAGATGACGTTGTTTTCATCATTAACCATTGCAGTGTAGTAGAACTCACATACTTGTTTGGGAAAGAACTCTGATGGAACCTCACTGATTGCGTATCGAAGTCGGCAGGAGACTAAGAAATTGACAAAATCATCAAGTCCAAGACCACGATGAACATCTGGTATATCAGGGTTGAAAACAACATTTGTGGCTTTGATGTATTTGGGAAGAGGAGGAGAGTTTGGAGCTGGGTCGACTCTTCTAGAAGTGGAGGAAAAGGTGAACAGTGATGCTGCCATTGAGGAGAGTTAGGATTCTAGGGTTTTTTTTTTTTAAGAGAGAGAGGAAAGTTTAAATGATGGGAGGAAGGTTTGGGAGAGAGGTGAAAAGGTTTAAATATGGAATTAAACGGGTAAAAAAAGGTAATGATTATCTTTATCGAAAATAACTTCGTATCTTAACAGACCGTCAAATCAAAAAAATAGTCGTTGGGTAAATAGAGTCGTTGTACTGAAGAGGAAACGACAATCAGTGACTGCGGAAGCGCTGAGATTATTATCACGGAAAGTTACATGCTGAAAGATAGTTTGTCGTTAATTCAAGGTACAACTTGCTTGTTTAGGGTTAGCAAGGTGATTGGTGCGTGTGATAGATATTGGTTTAATTATCTAACCATCGGTACAGAGTGCCGAGTCTTTATCAGTGAGTGGTACTTCTTACTGAATCATTAGACACTGAGTGAGAAGAAGGTGAAGAGAGGATTGTTGTGTGTGATAGACCTTTGTGTTTTGGTCTAACCATCGGCAAAGACTGGTAGATTCTCATCAGCATGTGTTTTGTCACGCTGAATCACATAATCAGTGTAAGATTGGCAAGAGGGGATAGTTGCGTGTGATAGAGCTTGGTGTTTTGTCTAACCATCGGAAAAGAGTTACAAGTTGTTATCAGTGTATAGTTTAATACAGTGAATCATTCAACTTTAGTTTAGAAGATTTGTAGAAGAGATAGAGATAAGAAATCGTACAATGTACTTAGCATGCTAAACATCATCAGCACATCATCATCATCAAAAAAACATTAGTTTATAAGACAATAGCAAACATTAGTAAAATATTTTCAATCCAGCATGATCATTCCAAGTTCGCCAATAATGTGAGCATTAGTTTGAGTATCCAGGGCTGTGGTGAAAATATCAGCTAGTTGATCGGAAGTCTTGACATGTTTTAGAACAACCTTGCCCTTCTCAACATTGTCTCTGATGAAGTGATGTCTGATCTTGATATGCTTTGTCTTTGAGTGCTGAACAGGATTCTGTGTGATCTGAATGGCACTTGTGTTATCACAGTATATAGGAGTCTTTGTGAATTTAAGCCCATAGTCTAAATGTTGATTTTGAATCCATAAGATTTGAGCACAACATCTCCCAGCTAAAACATACTCAACTTCTGCAGTGGAGATAGCTACTGAGGTTTGTTTCTTGCTGGACGAACTGATTAGTCGATTTCCAAGGAAATGATATCCACCTGACGTGCTCTTCTTATCTAAGTTGCAACCTGCATAGTCGGAATCAGTGTATCCAAATAGTTCAAGCGCTGAGTCACGAGGGTACCACAATGCCAAGTTCTGAGTGGCCTTTAAGTATCGAAAGATGCATTTGACTGCAATGAGATGAGACTCCTTGGGATTAGCTTGGAATCTAGCACAGAGAATGGTTCCAAACATGATATCAGGGCGACTTGCAGTGAGGTAGAGAAGTGATCCAATCATTACTCGATAAAGAGAGTGATTAACATCAGTACTGGTGGGATCAGCGTGTAGCTTATCAGTCTTGGACACCGGAGTAGAAGCTGGTTTGCAGTCGCTGAGAGAATACTTAACTAGCATGTCAACAATGTATTTACTTTGACAAATTGAGATACCTGATTTTTGTTGCTGAACCTCATGACCTAAGAAGAAAGTCATCTTCCCTATCATACTCATTTCGAATCTTTGAGACATGATCTCAGCGAATTCTTTGTTCAGCTTCTCATTTGGAGATCCAAACATGATATCATCGACATAGATTTGAGCAAGAATCATTTATGAGCCTTTCTTTTTGATGAAGAGAGTATTGTCAGTTGCTGCTCATTTGTAGCCATTTTCAAGAAGATATGATGTCAGTGTCTCATACCAGGCCCTAGGAGCTTGCTTCAGTCCATATACAGCCTTATCTAGTCTGTACACGTAGTCAGGGTGTTGTTTGTCTTCAAAGCCTAGGGGTTGTTTGAGAAATACTTCTTCTTGTAACTCACCTTGAAGAAATGCCGTTTTGACATCCATTTGGTAGACAATGAAGTTCGTGTATGAAGCATATGCGAGAAACAATCTGATTGCTTCAATGCGGGCAACTGGAGCAAAAGTCTCCCCGTAGTCGATGGATTCAATTTGAGTGAACCCCTGAGCAACAAGTCTTGCTTTGTTGCGAGTTATAATACCATCTTTATCAACCTTGTTGCGGTAGACCCAGCGTGTTCCAATGATGGTCTTTCCTGATGGTCTGGGAACAAGAGTCCAAACCTTGTGCCTTTCGAACTCGTTCAGCTCGTCTTGCATGGCTTTAATCCAGTCAGCGTCTTGAAGAGCTGAGTGTATCTTGTCGGGTAAAATCATTAAAACGAAATTAACGTAGATGCAAAAATTATTAGATACACGAGATCTGGTTCAGACACCATCATGAAGATTCCCAATAATTTGATCAACAGGGTGATCTCGATGTCCAGAAGCTGATTCCACTAGATTTGACACTGAAGTGTTATTGCTGAAGGGAACATCAGTTGCAGGAGAATCTTCAGTCTCAAGGGTTTCATCAGCATCGGAAAAATGAGTTGTCCAGCTGACCGCAGTATCTTGATTTACAGAATTTGGATCTGGAACGATAGGATCAGGAATAATAGCTTCTTCTTCAGTATGAGAAACTTCATCATATGGGCAAGAGAGAAGCACTTGAAAAATAGAGGAAGAATGAGCTACTTTTTCATTAGTGTAATGATTCCTCATCAAACTTTACATGAATGGATTCTTCAATGCACTGCCTGTTCACCTGAAAAACACGAAAAGCCTTTGAAATAGATGAGTATCCAACAAAAATACCTTTCTCAGCCTTAGGCTCAAATTTTGATATGGGATCGCGCTGATTAAGAATATAACAAATGCATCCAAACACGTGAAAGAAGGATACGTCCGGCTTTCGACCTTTCAGCATCTCATATGGTGTCTTCTTGTGAACCTTGTGAATTAGAGATCGATTCTGAGTATAACACGCTGTATTAACAGCTTCAGCCCAAAACGACATAGGAAGACCAGCATGAATCATTAAGGTCCTTCCTGCCTCAATCAGTGTTCGATTTCTTCATTCAGCAACTCCATTTTGTTGAGGTGTGCGAGGAGCTGAAAAGTTATTCCCAATGCCTTTATAATCACAAAATTCTTCAAGAGTTGAATTCCGGAACTCAGTGCCATGATCACTCCTTAGCTACTTAACTTTGAGACCAGTTAGTGTCTCGTTTTGACGAATCAGCGAGATAATTTCCTATGCAGCATGACTTTTCTTCTTCAAGAAAACCACCCATGTAAATCGAGTAAACTCATCCACAACCACTAGAGTATACTTTTTTCCTCCTTGGGAACGAACAGGAATAGGTCCAAACAAGTCCATGTGTAGTAAATGAAGAGGAACAGATATGCTAGAACATGGCTTGGGTTTGAATGACGGCTTGGCTTGTTTTCCTTGTTCACACGCTGAGCACATCTTGTCTTTGACAAAGCTGAGTTTTGGGAGACCTCTAACTAGATCTTGATTGGATATTTTAGATAGATTCTTAAAGTTCAAATGAGAGAACCTTTTGTGCCAAACCAGCTGAGATTGGTTTGAGACTTTGTAAAGAAACATTGCATCAGTGCCTTGTCACTTGAGAACATGTCAAGAACATATATATCATCTTTTCTACTTGCTGAGAGTACAATGTTCTTGTCAGTGTTAACAACTCTTCCTTCCTTCTTTGTAAAATGAACTTCATAATCAGCATCACACAATTGGCTGATTGAGATGAGATTGTGTTTGAGACCCTTTACATACGAAACATTCTGAAACACCACATTATTGCACTTGATGTTTCCATATCCTTTAGTAAACCCCTTTCCATTGTCTCCGTATGTTACTGCAGGACCAGTTTTCTTGACATAGTCTTCCAGGAGAGACTTGGATCCTGTCATGTGTCTTGAGCAACCGCTATCTAAGTACCAAAGATGCTCCTGACCCTGCAGTGCTGAGAAACTAGTTAGATCACACTGACCCATTGTAAGATGGGTCATTCACAATGTTATTTGACAATATATTATAGCACTCTTTAAGAAGACAGTTTAAAGAATTTGATTTAAGAGTCCATCTTTCATTTTTAATTTTGATGTTATCAGCTCTTAATGATGTTTTACAAACTTGCATTCACTGATTTTGTGAGTCGTGTCACCACATCTGTAGCAAATTCTAGTACCAAAGTTTTTCTTGGTAAGCACATTTCTAGATTAACACATTTATATTTGAAAGATTCACCAAGTGAACTTTGAGTCCTCTTATTTGACATTGAATTACTAAACAATTAAGTGCAGAAGAACTAAAATCAGTGATGGATGAGGAGCTGACATCAGTATCAAATTTAGACTTATGTACTGAAACACTACAATCAGGATATTGTTTAAGTTGTTCATGAACTACATGAAACACTCCGTTTGAGATAGGAAATATGATAATATTTTCAGTGAGAGGAGTTGGTATCTCAAGATGTGCAAGGTAAGAAGTAGGATCAATTCCGGTAATTTCAATATTACACTTAGTAACACCATTAGAATCAGTAACACAATGTTCATCAATGAGACTCTGATTAATAAAGGTGGTGCTGATAAATTTGTTTTTGAAACTATCTTTTAATTCATTCATGGAATAATATTCAGATTCCTTTTCTTGAGATTTAAAAACCTTTTTAGCTTCAACAAAATTTCCCCCAAGGATTTTCTCACATGAATGAGGTATTTGAGCAGAAATAACATAATTAGAATTTTTGTGAGATTTAGCCCAAAATTTTAAAACAGTTTGTTCTTTGTTCAAGAGGTCTTTAACTTTATCAATTTCAAAAGATAGTGAGGAATTTGATAAACTAGTAACTCTTAGATTTTCCTGAGTAGTGTCAATAATGTTATTTTTCAAGGATAGTTCAGTTTTAAGAAGATCAATTTGATTCTGCATATCTCTTATGATTTGATTCTT